GAATGAATGAATGAATGAATGAATGAATGAATGAATGAATGAATGAATGAATGAATGAATGAATGAATGAATGAATGAATAGACAGATGAATGAATAAATGAATGGACAGAAAAATGAATGAAATTCATCTAATATGGCCACCTACACAGTACATGCATACATATATTCGTACATACATACTAACATACAAACCTACAAACATCCAGACATACAAACATACAAACCTACAAACATCCAGACATACAAACAAACAAACTTACAAACATTCAAACATTCAAACATACAAACCTACAAACATCCAGTCATACAGACATTCAAACATCCAGTCATACAAACATTCAAACATCCAGTCATACAAACATTCAAACATCCAGCCATACAAACATTCAGGCCTACAAACATCCAGTCATACAAACATTCAAGCCTACAAACATCCAGTCATACAAACATACAAACCTACAAACATACATACATCCAGACATACAAACATCTAGACATACAAACGTATATAATTACAGGTTTGCTCTTAGATATTGCTTCAGTGTCAGTAACAGTTCCTAATTGCGTTTCACGGCATTTTCGCGAATTTCGTTTTTCCATGATTATCATCATAATATCGGCTCCATCAAATATATGCTAAATACTGGATAGAGCTAAACAAATATGTGTGTGTGTGCGTGTGTGTATGTGTGTGTATGTGTGTGTGTGTGTAGTGTGTACGTACGTACGTACGTAAAGGTACCTGGGTGTATTCATAACCATTATCAACAACAAACAACAACATCATCATCATCTTCCTCCTTCTCATCATCTTCTTCATCATCTTCTTCATCATCATCATCATCATCATCTTCTTCTTCTTCTTCTTCCTCTTCATCATCATCTTCTTCTTCATCATCATCTTTTCAATTTTGGCGGCCAAATTAGCATCGTGTTATATTAGATAAACGTGTGGACGTTAGTGAATTTGCATAACTTTTCTTTATCGTAAGTAATGGCCGTAACTTTCAATTAGGCGCTACATAAATGTTTGTTTGTTTGTTGTTTTTGATTTCGTTGACGTCACCGGTGATGTTGTTGTTATATGTTGTTGTTGTTGTTCTATGTTGTTGTTGTTGTTCTATGTTGTTGTTGTTGTTCTATGTTGTTGTTGTTGTTGTTGTTCTATGTTGTTGTTCTATGTTGTTGTTGTTGTTGTTGTTCTATGTTGTTGTTCTATGTTGTTGTCGTTGTTGTTATATGTTGTTGTTGTTCTATGTTGTTGTTGTTCTATGTTGTTGTTGTTCTATGTTGTTGTTGTTCTATGTTGTTGTTGTTCTATGTTGTTGTTGTTGCTATTTTCAGCGTGATTAGAAAAATTTATAGAAAACTAAATAATAGTAATAATAATAATAATAACAATAATAATAACATCAACTTCCATGTTCAATTAATTACTCTTCATTACAATTTAAACAACATTGTCAATAATTTCATTAAAAGAATCAACAAAAGAGCAAACGAGGGTACAAAACGTACATTCGTACAATCGAAACGAATCGAAACGAATCGATACGAAACGATACGAAACGAAATTTTATTTAGCAATAAATATTTCGCGGAGGTTTGAATGACGAGGGGGAAATTTAAAAAAAATTCCAATCTGGAAATCCGACTCTACAAATACATGTAAATAAATGTTCATAACACATACATACACACATACATACACATACATGCATACACACATACACGCACACACACATACACACGCACACAAACACACATGTAATCATGCATACAAAAATTTACCAATTATATTTAATGGAAATTGAAACCGTTAAATCACTTCCGAAGCTCTGAAAACACACACACAACACACACACATAAACACACACACAACACACACACATAAACACACACACATACACATCTACACGCATATATACACACATATCCACACAGTATACGCACTTTAAAAAAATACAAAAGTTTTAACATAGATAATCTCTTTATAGTTCAACTACTCCATAATAAATAACATATATAATATCATTATATATATATATATATATATATGTGTGTGTGTGTGTGTGTGTGTGTGTGTGTGTGTGTGTGTGTTTGTATGTATGTGTGTACAACTTAAATTAATCCGGTTGATGTTTTTAGAGTGTTCAAATGCGCGTGTAGATAGATGAATGAAAGGATGGATGGAATGATGGATGGATGGATGGATGGATGGTTTGATGGATGAACGGATGGATGGAATGATGGATGGATGGATGGATGGTTTGATGGATGAACGGATGGATGGAATGATGGATGGATGGATGGATGAACGGATGAAAAGGTGAGCGAATGAATGAATGAATGATTAAATGAATGAATGAGTTGGTGATTGAGTAGGTGAATGAATTAATGGTTAAACAGATAAACAAGTAAATGAATGACAAATGCATGAATTCGTGCCTGAACAACTGAACTGAACAAATGAACATACAAATATTATTATTGTCATAATTATAATAATAAATATTATAATTATTATTATATATTATTATTATTATAGCAATTAAAATAATTTCAGCTATTATTATTATTATTATTATTATTATAACAATTATTTTCATCCCAATGAAATGAAAACCAATCATTTTGAATTGATTGTTGTTGAAGTTGTTGAGATAAATCGATATGCTGTTGTTGTTGTTGTTGTTGTTCTGGATAATTTTGACCGTAACCGAACGAAAACGATGATGTGGAGCTTATTTTACCGACGAATCTATCGAACATATCGGTATCCGAGACTAAACTTGTTATTGAAAACGGATGCTTAAAATATTGTTGATGAAGTTGTTGTTGTTGTTGTTGTTGTTGATGTGTTGGCACTTGGTTTTGCTGGTATTTGTATAGTTGTGTTGTTGTTGTTGTTATTGATGTTGTTGATGTCGTCGTCGTTGAGAAGTAAGAGTAGTTACTGTCGTAGTTGTTGTTGCTGTTGTTAATGTAAGCATCATCGTTGCTATTGTAGTTAGCAGTATTAAAATTCTTGACTGATTGATAAAATTGTGTTGACGTTGTCGATGTTGTCGTTGTTAGCTGGTTGTATGGGTTTGTGTTGATGTCATGGATGTTGTTGTTGTTGTTGATGTTGTTGTTGCTGATGTTGTTGTTGTAGTAATATGAGGCAAGCAGCGAGGTATATTGATTTTCAATGGACGAATGTTCGCTTAAATGGTTGTTGATGTAACTGTTGCCGATGTTATTGATGTCATTGTTGTTGTTGTTGTTGTTGATGTCTTTGTTGTTGTTGTTGTTGATGTTTTTATTGATGTTGTTGTTAGAAAAACAAGCTTTGTTGTTGATTTTACCAACAACGCCTGCATTGTTATTTCGTATCGTTCCATCCACGTTGTTATTTCTGTCTAATTTTATGTCTTTGGTGGCAGTGCTGATGCTATTTTTAGCACTATTATTATTATTATTATTATTATTGTTGTTGTTGTTGTTGTTGATGTTGTTGATGTTGTTGTTGTTGATGTTGTTGTGATGAACTTTGCTGTTAGCACTACTAGCTCTATTGATGTCATGAATGTTGTTACTGTTGTCGTTATTGCTGCTTTTATTTTTGCTGGTATTATTATTAATGTTATGATTGTTGTTGCTGTTGTTGTTGTTGTTGTTCTTTTTGTTTTTGTCGGGATTGTAACTTTTCCCATTCGTACATTTCGAAAGTTGATGCTGTGTTGGAGTTTGTTTGAATGCTGCTGCTGCTGTTGTTGTTGTTGATGGTGATGTTGTTGTTGTTGTTGTTGTTGTTGTTGCTGCTGATGTTGTTGTAGATGATGTTATTGTGTTTGCTTTCGTTGTTGTTTTTGTATCAGAAGATGGACAAAGTTCTAGAAACTTCGAGAATCTGTTGTTGGCTGACACGAGAGAGTTTGGATGTTGTTGTTGTTGATGTATTTGCTGCTGCTGTTGCTGTTGTTGGCATTTTTCTGTTGTTGTTGTAGTTGTTGCAGTATATTACATTAAATTTTTGTATTATTATATCATAATTATAATTATTTATTTGTTTTCAAAATAATTTAACTAATTTTGTTTGCAGGAATGAAATAAAAGTATGAATGAATCTTATATGAAAATTTTGCCACCAAATGGTAATAATCTCCATGGAAGTGCTATTACAAGTTAGAAAAAACATTTAAATAAACATTTCTTTTATATAAACATAAACTGCAAGAATTTTTTTTCTAAAACCTGAATCTCCAATCCTTGTGTCGGTTGAAATTTTTGATTTTTTCCCGCCAGCTGGCAGCCCCTCCGGGCCCTTCCTATCGTCTGGGCCTGCCTTCTTACCTTCAGAGTTGGATTTCGTGCAACTGATCATAGCGCTGGAGTCAGCCTCGACGAATGAAGTTTTAAACAAGCTTTCGTCCGAACTACTAACTCTATTATCATTGTTTCCCCTACTTTCGCTATTTCCGACACCAGCTCCTCTATGCTCGTTAGTACTTTTGCTGGGAAGTTCTGGTTTCAATTTCGTCAGGTTAGATTTAGACGGTATGTCAGATTTTGACGATCTGACGTTGGTTGAGTTTGTTTTTGAAGAATTTTGGCTTTGTTTGATGTCTCTAGAAGTAGTAGAGCTGCTGCTGTTGCTGCTGCTGTGTTTGTCTATTTCAGTGACGTTGCTGGTCGTTGTCGTTGATGATTTTTGTGTTTGTGAGTGTTGCTGCAATCGTTGCGCCTGTTTGATGGCCTGCCTCGTAGGGCATTTGAATCGCTTCTGTCGCCTCAAATAGCAACCGTTCTCGAACATGTTGCCGCTGTTTGGATGCAAGGTCCAGTAGCTGCCTGGTGGTGGTTGGTGGTGGTTGGTTGGTGGTTGTAGTTAGTTGGTTGGTGGTTGGTGGTTAGTTGGTTGGTGGTTGGTAGTGATTGGTGGTGGTTAGCCGTTGTTTGTTTCAAGCGTTAAAATTTTTTCATATATTCGTTTTTGTTTTATTTGATTTGTGATCAACTGACTGCACTTGCTTGCAACGAAGACGGTAATTTAACATTAACAACATTCTGATTGCTTTATCAATCTGATTATATTTTAATTATAAAAATAAAATATTTTTTTATTCTATTGTTTTATATTAGAATAACAATGGCTAATTTTTCTAAAAAACTCTTAAAATGTACACGCCAACCTTTTCCTGGCCTGTCTGGCGACCTCGAGACTTTGACAAAACAGTCATTAAACGACAGACTGTGTCGGATGGAGTTCTGCCATCGCTGCTGGTTCTGCCTGTAAAACGGAAACAGTTCGGTGATCATGCTGTAGATTTCATTCAGGGTGCACATTTTGGATGGGGATGACTGGATGGCCCAGGTTATGAGGGAGATGTAGGAGTAGGGGGGCTTGGTGTGCGAGTAGTTTCGGGGCCCGTGTGAAGAATGGTAGGCGTAGGAGGACGATGAAGAAGCGGAAGATGATAGGGTTGGGTCGTAGGGTCGGTTTTCTTGATTGAAATCGGTATTTTCATCTTTAAAACAGCACGGGAGAGTGGAGTATGCCTCGTGAAAGGATGTCGGATCGGCTTGGATGTTCGAGTAGAACTGACCGCCAGGAATGGCTGATATGTTCGGTGTTAAAATCGGTTGGTAATCCATTCTGAATGCGTTTACGCTGCTGTCGTACTCGCAATTTTTATCCGAATAATATTGCATCGGCGGTAATCGGTTTTGGATTGTATCGTAATCGGGACCAATGTTATTGTTATTTGTTTCAAAATCGGTATCGATCGGTTTCACAGCAGTGTATTCGTTAGAGTATAAAAAGTTACTAACCACCAAGTTGGAAGAGCCGGTTATTTGATAAGGTCCTTGGCTGACGATGTCACTACTATCTTGGTTGTTGTTACTCGACGAATCGTTTGACAGTCGGTTATAGCAATCCGAATTATCGATTTGGTGGATTCGAGTCGAGATTTTATTCGAATACTTATTCCAATCCGAATCCATGTACTGGCAAGCTGACGAGTATTGATCGTTGGAGTAGTTGTCATCTGGAACTACTGTCATGTTGTAGAAAGCGTTGTTGTTGTTGTTGTTGTTGTTGTGGTGTTGTTGTTGTTTTGCGTTCGAAAATTTTCGATAATCTCGTCCGTGTACAACAATTTTGCTGTTGCTACCTTCAACGTTGTTGTTGTTGTTGTTAGTAATGTTATCGTCGTCGTCGATATTGCCAATTGTATTTGCACTGTTGTCGTTGTTGTAGTCACTGCTGTTGCTGCTGTTGACGTTGTTGTTGTTGTTGTTGGAATGTTCTTGAAAAGATTGTTGAGACTCAAGGATTACAAGCTGCTCTTTAGAAGTTTTGGTCATCATTTCGATAGTAGCCGGAGCAAACATTTCTTTGTTTGTACTAAGTCGGAGAGTGAGTGAGAGAGAAGAAAGAGCAAACATACGCCACTCACGTGCAGATGCCTATAATATTAACTGATACATTCCTATACAACGCACACCCAAACAAAAATCAGAACGAAAGAAGAAGAGAAAAATAGAGAGAAAAAATATAGAGTTTGGCAAACAAAAACTATGTGGCGATCAGAGGCAGGCAAACAGAGCAATCTAAATGATGTTTGTCCTGCATCTTACACAGGCTAAATTTATTGCTAAATACTTGGCTACTTGCATGCCAGCCTGCAGGAGCGCTCGTCACGGTATCGGTCGGTATGTAACATCTCTAAACATGTATGAGAACCGCTCGATCCCAGCCTGGATCCGTATGTGTGTGTGCCGAGTTTAATACAAATGTATGCGATATGTGTATTATATGTATTTGTGCGTATATGTATGTATGTATTCGTGCATACGTTTGTTTGTATAAAAATGTACCTAAAAGTATATATATATATATATATATATATATATATATTATATGTATGTGTGTGTTTGTGTAGGTGTGTGTGTGTGTGTGTGTGTTGGTGTGTATGTATGATTTTGCCTATGTCAGAGCATATATATAGAAGCGGTGAATGTTAAATCAGAATGAATCCATAGGCATATATATACATGAAAGATTAGATCCCATTTTTAGATATATATATATATGATCAAATATAGAGGATGTATATATATCTAAAAAAAATTTTATAAAAGATACATACAATGCTTAAATACGCACAAATGTACATAAAAGTATGTATATATATACACGTTTTGTATAAATACAAAATTACAAACTACATTACCTTTTTTCCATAGAAGGAGAAACAGCTAGTTGTTTTAATGTTTGCCAACTTGTGTTCATAAGAATGTGCTCACAACATTGTTTCTCATTATAATATGATATATATATATATTATATATTGTATATATATATATATATATGTTGGTAATAGACCATAATTTTTACAATATTCTATAAATTCTACCGAATGTTTGGCGTTAATATGTTTGTAGTTCGTTTTTTCGATTTTTCTCACTAAAGTTTTTTGGTGAACGTTTAGTTTATAAAATCAAAATAA